CGTCTCAAGAGCTTGTCTTAGATACATACCCTAGGCTTATCAAGAGTGAAAGGTTCAAATCTCGTCTCGAAGGTGTCGGCAAGGACCTAAAAAACATCAAAACATTAGCCACACGATCATCGTGCACCCCGCCGTCCTCTGATAGTCGGCAGTCGCAAGAGTAGTATTTCAGAATGATAACATACGACAGCCTGCAACGTCTCTTCTACTTCCTCCGCAGCATTGCCCCTCTGTTTGGAGCCACCGCCTTTTTGCTTTGGACCCATCTGCTAAGACAATGGTAAGCGTGAGTTGCGCGGAAAGATCGAATGCCACATCCTGCGACTCACTAGGTGATTTTCCCCGCCTCACTGAAAGGTCAAATATTTCTGTACAAAGTCCAGCAAGAGAGGATGGATCGTGGTTGAGAAGCCCAAACGATAAGCAGGCTCACAAAGAAATCGGAAATCAACAAAGAAACCGCTTGCACAACCTAAAGGAATTATTTCCGGTTCCCCTCGACGCAAAAACTCCGCCAAACCCATATTGTGATTCATCCCACTCCCGCCCTTTTTTGCATGTTTGTTCTGTTTGCGGGGTTTGCTGCCCAGGCTGTGTTCCTTTCACGTGACACACGTGATGGGTGACATTAGCCACACACGACCTGAAGGACCAGCTTCAGCCCCAAAGAGTCCAGAACACCATCCAAGGCCCAGGCCCTCCTGGACTTCTGGCAATATCCCTTGTCCAGGAACCAACGGTCTAGAACCTTAATATACCTCTTTACTGTAGCTCAAATTAAATAGGAGTTCTGGTCAGACGATATTTTACCCCCGAACCGAAAGGCAATCGGAAGCTCCTAAGCTTCTGTGGATACTCGGTCCGTATGGGGCTGGGGTAGTACGCAGCATACCCACCTATGTACGTGTGCACTGCGTATTAAGGGCTTCTGAGTGGAGGGTATATTGCGGGATGATGGATCTGAAGTGTGGTGGGTGAATAGTCACATGTGTTCTGTATTTTCAGTAGGTAACTACAGCTAGCTAGTGTGTAAACACCATCAAATTGTGTTCCAAGGCGAAACATCAGGGATTGCGCCAACGTGGATATCCCACTCGAAGGACACTTTTACCCATGTAACATGTTCAAGTAATTACAGTAACAGTACACCAAAACAGTCTGAATGCCCAGGTCCTAATATAGTTCAACTCCCTTATATCCCTTTATAAATGACACCAACATTTCTGCTGAGAGTATCCGCGAGAAACAAAAGACAAACAAGCGAAGGCCTCATAAACGCCGTAAGCTATCAAAAGTCCACCCAGGGGTCAACGGTATCGTACGGGTAGAGATTTCATTATAATCAAGATAGCAATCATGAAAGGGGAATAGAGTGATTGAGGATACACGGAGCGGAATGCAAGAGAGGTAAGTTGTTTGTTGATTGAGAGATATACAGCATCGAGGAGATGGGCGAGGTTCAGCCGGTCCGTGCAGCTTGAACGGGATTGACCATCGTTTGAGGTTGGTGCGCATATACACGCTGTCGCTTCGCGAGATTGGGGTTCTCGGCAGCACTGGCCATGTCGGAGACCTGCGTCGTGGTTGTGGCCGTGCTGCAGCTGCAGCCGCAGCCGTGAGGGCCACAGGAGCTGGCGGATACTGCACCCCATTTTGGTCTACCGCATATGCAGCGGCAGTGGCGGGGGTTGCAGGTACGTATTGGCCTTGTACCTGCTGGAGATTAGGGTGAACTGCGGCCATGCCCTGGAATTGGCCGGGAGTTTGCCAGTTGTTTATGGAAGTGGCTGGTGACTGGCTAGGAGAACTATCTTCTTTGACGGACTGGGCTGCCGAGCTCTGTGCAGCCATTGTAACCGCTGCCGTGGGTTGGGTAGTTTCCATGCCTTGCGGAATGGTCTTTAAATGAACCAGGTGCTTTTCTAACATATCCAGAAGACTCTTTCGCGTGAAGGGCTTGGGAAGAACATCGTCCATTCCTAGTCAATGTTAGCAGGATAGTCGCGGAGCCCGATCCTAGTAGCAGATTAACATACCATGCTGGAAGTAAAGCTGAATGTCATCACTCCGGATGTTGGATGTCATGGCAATGATCGGCGTCCTATCAAACTGCCGAATGAGGTGACATGCTGAGACACCGTCCAGGTTGGGCATAATTATATCCATCAAAATAAGATCGTACTTCGAGCCATCCTGAATTTTGTTCACCGCCTCGAGTCCATCGAACTACGTTCCCATCAGTCAGAGTACGAGACTTGGAAAGATGACCTGTGAAGCCAACTTACGGCAGTATCAATGACACAAGAAAAGGAGTATAGGAATTTCCCGCCAATTTGACGACACGTCGCATCATCTTCGACCAGCAAGATATGGGGACTACGCATCCAACCCGGATCAACATTCGTGCTCTTCTTCCGATTGTCTGCGAACTGTCTCCGAGCGTCGTCGACTTCTTGCTTGGGCGGCATTGGATATGGCACATTATTAACATGCTCGCTGTACATCGGATCGATACCATTAGTAGCGCCCACAGGGTACACGACGGGTTCAATATCGCCGTTCATCTTCGGGTACACCAAGGCTGTGGTCGCGGCATTGGTCGGATTGGCTGGGTTTGCGGGGGTCGCAGCGGCTGCAGTTGGCGGTCGCACCACGCCATTCCGCGGTGCAGCATCCATTGCGGGCGTCGTGGCCACAACGGGACCTGTTTTGGGTGGCTCCCCTAACGAATCAAGGCCGCCGAGATTGAACTGAATTTCGGCATTCATATCATTGAGAAGCTTCGAGGCGTGCTGCAAGGGCGACGAAGGTTCATCGTCCATCGACGCCACCTGGGAAGGGCTCAAGGTCGACCCCCCTTGACCTTGTGCCTGGAAAGGTCCGGATGCTTTACTGTCTCGCCGTTGACGAGCATCCACTGATAAGAGATATGTCATCAGTTGGTGGATTACATGTTCGTGGTTGAGGACTGTTTTCTGAACTCTCATAACTTCCTGCAGCATGATCTGATGGTCGACAGTTAATTGTGCATAACGATCCGAAAGATGCTGGATTTGTTGTTGCTGCGCCACTATTTGCTGATTCAAGAGATCGATCTGTTGCGTTGGAACAGAATCTTCGTTGCTCTGGGCCTGTTTCCGAGGGGCGGGTGCCTTTCGTCGAATGTTGTCGAGTGACTCTTTGCTGTTCGCTCGGAATTCGGGGTGCTTGAATTCCCATGCCTAGATTCCTGATCAGACAACCCTGTCAAGCCACCAGTGCCAAGTATCGCAATCTTACATTCTGGCCATACGGTGATTGACCATTCTCTTCATTATTTTGTCTCACTTTGTGGAAGTCGTACTTGTTTAGTTGTCGTACAAAGCTGGCAAAGTTGCTGTGTTTGAAATGTTTGGGAAGGATGGTTTTCGTAAATTTCTCGCACTGCGACCGGATTTGGATCGATTAGCAGGAGGACAGCGGCTGCGAATTCTTCAAACACGAGGACGTGCATTACCTCCAAGACGACAAAACTGTCCCCTTCATCACCCCACCGCACAATCTCCGAGTAGGACGGATCCTCCAGCATTCTTGGAAAAGGAAAGGTTAGTGATCAGATAGAGAGAGGAAGAAGCCTTTCAAGTACTAGACGAAGGCATCTTGAATAGGAGGGCGTATAGCGGCATTAAGTCGGGTCGACGGGAGAGCTCGGGGGTAGAGACAAAAAGGAGACGATCAAACTCACTTGTAAAGTTTCCGCACCTATGCATTTTGTCAGCGATGGTGAGCGAATGCTATAGCTTTTACTTCAAGACAAAAGCAAGAAAAAAAAGTAACAATAATATAGTAAGAATAAAGAGAAATAATATCATTGATATCATTGTCAAAAAGATCAACACTTACAAAATCGCTGGAGTTGCCCGCGGGGGCGGTATTGGTTGTGGTCTGGCCACCGTCCATCGTGGGCTAGATGGGTCGCGACCGATCGAACAAGCAACAGGCTCAAGCACGTCGCAGAACCTCACGAACAACGGCTGCGGCAAAGTATTGAAAAGGAAAAAGAAAGAATATCCAAGCCGGTGGTCAATTACGCACCGAGATCGCGAAGGAGAAATTTCCGGGAGAAAGGATCAGTAAGAAATAAAGGTGAAGAAGAGAAAGAGAAAAGAAGAAGAAGAAGGGGAAAAAATGACGGTCTAAACTGGACGGCGTTTGGTTGAGAGAGGTCAAGAGAAAGAGTAGGGAAGAGATGGTGGCAGTTCCCTAGTTAAGTTTTGGGTAATTTACTACTTCGTTGCAAAAGTGGGACTTTTGATGGGGGTCACTGACTTGGTCTCTGCACCCGCCATTGGCCTTTTCTGTGCTGTCTGAACCACCAGTCACCGTTCACTAGCCACAACTTGCCATTTTTTCTCTGCTTTTTTTTTTTTTACTTTTCCCATTCCTTTCATTGCTTTTTTTGTTTTTTGTTTTTGGTCCTCCCCTTCTGAAATTCTTGGGTACACTTATCGCAATGTTAAACAGCTTTCACTTCCCCCAATGCAAGGAGCTAAAGGGGGAAGGAAAAACAGACAGGAGCTCGTCTCTGACACTCTGACCGTAAACAACAGCCGACAAGACATCTACTAAGTGCAATTACCTCGGAGGGGAAATGATGATGTGGAGAAAACAGTCCACTTCTCGTACTGTCGACTTTAGTGCCTTAAATGATTAGAGAACATGGCTTGATTCTTACGAGTAGATTTGTTGCCAGTCATAAAGGGACAGCTAGTTACATCTGAGTTATTCTCTCTTTGCCTTCCTTTGTGTTCTGGTTTCCAAGAAATTGAACAGTGGAAAAAAAAAAGAAAAGGTCAGTGCGTTCATGATGCAGATAACGTGCGAGGAAAGGATGGAGGGGAAAAGATGGAGATAGGTTGTTGGATATGCAAGAGGAGGGGCAAATCAACCTGCAGCGATCGTCGAAGGAAAGAGAGGAGAGAAGAGCGGAGATTGTTCATTCTCATCGGCATACTAGTATCTGATGACATTGACTTCTTTGGATCCATTCATTTAACCATCACCGAATTTTGAGGGCACTAGTCCAAAGGTGATCTTGAATCATTCCTTTTTGGGATGCATTCTAGTCAGGTGTACATATTACATAACATTAATTATGTACACTTGGTGGTATGTAAGGTAGTAGGTAGTAGTAGTTCGTTTGCATGGATCCATACTTCACGCTATTTCTGTAGGAGATAGTAGGGTAGTATTGACTCAGAAATATCTGACGTTTCTTTTTTCATTGAAGATTTTTGTTTTTCCGAGAAAAAAGAAATCAACAAATGTAAAACAAAGATAGCATGCACCCGATTCATTGTGCTTCAAGGTTCAGTTGTATTTACTGTTTATAGTTTAAAATCCTTCAACGGTGGAGACTAACCCACTTGGTCATCAAAAGTCACCTGTGACTCGGAAGACACATACTGATTCCGGTTATTCGTTGCTGATCGCTTGCAGGTCAGTCTTAGCATCCTGCCCCATCCAACTGCCGCACCTAATGCCATCATATTCTAACTATACTTTCCTTCCGTCTCCTGACTGCATTTTGTTCCCCCAAAATAACTCTGATATGAAGTACTCCGCAAGTGCCACCAGTTCCAGGGTAGAGGGGGCCAGACCCTTCCATGGCTAACAGGGGGAGCTATACGCCACCTCCAGAGATTCGCTTTCCGTCGGGTACAATAACTTAGAACCCCGACCTATAATAAGAACAATAAAACCTCCTCTTCGTTTGTGACGTAGCCCATTCGGCCGATCGACTCTGATCGACAGAATGCAATTTATTTATTTTATTTATTTTTTTACTTAGCAGGTATGTTCCGTTCTCCATGGATGTACCGTTCACTTATGTTTGCCCGTAGAGATATATATACCTGCGAGAAAGGCAAG